GGATGCATTGGAAACAAAATAGTGAATATTCTTAGAGACACTGGTTGCAGTCGTGCTGTCATTCGACGAGATCTAGTTAAACCAGAACAGATGACAGGAAAAATTCAAAAATGCGTTTTGGCAGATGGTAGTGTAATTGAAGCAGATGTCGCAGATGTGAATGTTGACACACCTTACTTCTCAGGAAATGTTATGGCCTGGTGTTTCGACAATCCATCTTATGATTTGATTCTAGGAAATATCGAGGGAGTAAGAAAAGCAGAGGATCCGGATACATCATGGATTATGTCTAATGGAACAACAACTGACGTGCAAACTCGAAGCCAGTCAAAGAAACAACCTTCATCTTATAATCCCCTAAGAGTTCCCAAGGCTTTAACAGAAGTGTCACCAAACGAAATCATGAAAGAACAACAAACACATCCAACTTTGGAAACGTTAAGAAAATTTTCACAAGAAAACTCAGTGAAGACGTTTAGAGATGGTAGAACAACCAAGATATACGAACAAAATGGAATGTTGTACAGAGATTTCATCAGTCAGAGGGTGTCCAATGGAAAAACGTTTCAGCAACTGATAATACCTAGGAAATACCGACCGTTGGTTATGAAACTTGCGCATGAAACATTGATGGCAGGACATCTAGGGATAAGAAAGAAAACCATAGACAGGGTGACATCAGAATTTTATTGGCCAGGTGTGCAAGCAGACATCAAACGATTTTGCAATTCTTGTGACTTGTGTCAGAAAACCATTCCAAAAGGAAGAATATCTTCTGTTCCACTTGGTCAGATGCCAGTAATTTCTGAACCTTTTCAGCGTATTGCGGTAGATATTGTTGGACCACTAGAGCCCAGAACCACTAGAGGAAACAAGTACATCTTGACCATAATTAACTATGCATATCGTTATCCTGAAGCAGTAGCATTATCTGGAATAGAGACAGAACGTGTTGCGGAAGCTTTAGTTGATGTATTTAGTCGTGTTGGAGTTCCAAGAGATATGTTAACCGATCAAGGATGGATCACAATTCACATAGGATGTAATGAAAGAAGTCAGTCGTTTACTATCTTTGAAAAGAATTACAATACACCTTACCATCCAATGTGTAATGGGATTGTTGAGAAATTCAATGGCACACTAAAGCAGATGCTAAAGCGGATGTGTACGGAAAAACCAAAAGACTGGGACAAATATTTGAATGCTTTGTTATTCGCCTACAGTGAAGTACCACAAGACAGTTTATGTTTTTTTACCTTTTGAACTCTTATATGGAAACAAGGTGCGGGGACCAATGGAAATACTGAAAGAATTGTGGACAGAAGATATACCAGATGAAGAAGTAAAATCCACCTACGAATATGTAATTGACCTCAGAGAAAGATTGAAAGATACCTGTAAGATAGCTCATGAAAGCTTATGAAAGCTTAGAAAGTTTATACCAAACTTTTCTACTATAGCGATTCCACTGACAGATTTGAAGAAAAAAGGACAACCTAACCAAGTAAAGTGGACGGATAGTACACAACTAGCTTTCGATACACTGAAGCAATTACTTTGTGCTAAACCAATTCTTAAGTTGCCTGACTTTACACAGATATTCATTCTACGCACCGACGCGTCTGACAATGGTATTGGAGCTGTGCTACTTCAAACTGAAAGTGACGAAAATTACCAGTAGCTTATGCAAGCAGGAAACTTCAGAACAGAGAAAAGGCATGCATATGCAGTAATTGAGAAAGAATGTTTAGCCGTGGTTTGGGGTACACAGAAATTCAACCAGTATCTTTACGGTAAAGAGTTTATCCTAGAAACAGACCACCAGCCCCTCACTTATTTGAACAAGTCAAAAACTGAGAATTCTCGCTTGATGAGATGGGCCTTATTTCTACAACAATACCGTTTCCGGATTGTGGCCATCAAATGCAGTGACAATGTTGGAGCAGATTGCTTGAGCTGTGTGTAGACATATAAACAAGGTATGATGAGATAATTTTTGTAAAAATATTCAGTATTTTTGTTAGTTTCAGTGATTTCAAATAATTGCAGGTTGTTGAAAAAATTGTAGACAATTTTCTGGAAAAGGGGGACGTGTGTGACAATCACTTGTGTATAAGGCTAGCTTTCCGGCCTGTAACAATGATTTCTCATAGTTGTTTGTCGTTGCAAAAGTCACGTGATTTAGATTGGCTGGGACAATTCCCGGGTGAGCTGCCGTGTGAGTAAGACATACATTAGAGGGCAGTAGAGTTTACTGCAGGGACAGTGTATTTTGCAGTATGCAACGTACAGAAACTAACTAGTAACAAAAGACACGGAGAGCAGATCGTGGTATGCATATTTTGTATTTTTTGAATTTATTCTTAAAGTGTATTTTGTAAGTATTCTTGTTTATCGAGTGACCTAAATATAACCTTGGCTTACATCCACTTGTCTAACTTACCTGTGTGAGCAGTCAAGTGTATCGGTAGCGAGAGTTTAACAGGTCTGGACGATTTCTAAATAAGGAAGTCAAGAACGATAACCGTGAATTGCTATTAATACACAGAGTAAACAAGGCGCTAGTCCCTCTGACCAATCAGATAATGTTCAGCATTTAGACAAACCCATGAGAGAATAAATAAAACACGTGGTTTTTAAGTTTTTTGCTCAAAAGATTTTTTTAGAACAAACTTTTTGTAAACTTTATGCGCAGTTGGGAATAATATAATACTTATGACAATTCTACCGTGAACAACCACGACTTGAAAGCTTGGAATACGTTTCAAGTGGGATAAAAAAATCTGTCTATACAATGCTATAGGAGAATTAGCAATCCCAAAGTTTACTTACGTTAAAAAATTGATATAAATACGGTACATTTTCAGTTTTTAGAGCCTGACATAAAAATCTTATCGAAAAGATAACAGTCTGTATTATTTTTGAGTGTTTATTACAGAATACTAGTATTCCATGCAGTTTCTGATATGCGAGGTAAGATATTGGGATAAAACGCATTCTTTTATAATTACAGGATTCTCTTTTCTCCACGTCATATGCCTTTCCTTATGCCCATTTAAAGTCTGCTTAGCTATGTATTCGGCGCTCATGAAACCCGTGATAATGCAAAACTATTATTATGTGTATGCTCCATACGATAAACACTTGTGTGAGTTGATCTATACACATGGAATTTAAGCATTATCAATGTAAATCGGACGGCTAAGCAAAATTGTATTTACCATCATATAATATATTCTGGTAAATGTTATAATTGAACTTGATAAAAACTTGCTGGTGCGATCTATACCTCTGTAAACAATAACATTCTATCGTGCATTGTTTTTTTTTCTTTACCGAGAAAAAAATGTCAAGGTTGTTCATGATCAAAATGTGGGAAATACCTTACTCTTCAAAAGTTTTCATCTTACTTCTACAGATTTTTTGTTAAAAAAATCTTTTTGAGGAAAAAAACAAAAGCACGTGTTATCTTTTTGTTCTTTTAAAATATGTTTTGGGGTGTGTAAAAATGCTGTTGTCTGGTTGGACAGAAAAACAATTACGTGTACTTGATGTACATTTATAGCAACTTTCGGTTATCGTTCTTGACTTCCATATTTAGAAATCGTCCAGACCTGTTTAAATACCCAGTTCTTTTACTGTCGATAGAATATTGTATCACTTTATTTGTGTCACCTTTGAGTGTTTCTTTAGGTGTATTTTTGTGCTCGATATTTTTTTGGCGAATTCTTTCAATGTATTGGGCGGAAGTGACAGCCGGAAGTGGTCGCCATATTGTTTTGAAATTACAATACAATGAATGCTTTTTATCATAACTTGTTGAACTATTTAGACAGACATATTTCATTTATGCTTTATCTAAATATTACATCATGAAGTGTTGTCTTTTTGGAAAACTTATCAGTCCTGTAAATTGTAGCGTTATGACGTTGGTGAAGTATGAGGACGTAGCTGAGTGAGCTTACGATCCAGATGGGACAAGTATAGTCAAGCTTTCTGAGGGTTATCATCGCCTTTCCACAAGTTCCGGACTACAGCCCCAGAAGCGATCGGACGATTGCTGAACCTAAGCTGAAACTTTTGGTGTTGAGATTCAGATAAGTCGATCGGAAAGGAGTTAGAACTTAGAGCTCGTGATTGTGGCAAACCTAAGTTACTTTTAAAATGATGAATTTATTATATACCCCCTTATAACTGGCTAAATATATTAAAATAAACCTTTAGAGATAAATTGGATAATATTAACCGATTAATCAAAGTATTATAACAAGGGACTTTTTAACGCGTAAGAAAAATAACGTCATATTTCTGCGTACTACGTCATCAGTTTCAGAGAGTGGTGATATGGATTCAGAATACAACATGTTGGTGATCCGGATCACGACGTCACGTGATAGCGTAAATTCAACAGTAAAATTGGGTGATACACATTAGGTATATAATAATTTGTCATTATTTTTCAACATTTTCATTTTTCATTTTTTTATTTTTGCAATCTGATTTATATCCGATCATCGATCAGCTTCTTTGTTTTTTATCGTCGCTACACGAGGCCTTGTGTAGCGACAATAAAAACAAAGGAGCGGATCGAGGATATGATTTTAATCAGATTGTAATTTTCTTAGCCTACATTTTTTTTTTTTTGCATCTCATACAAATGCATGATTATTTCGTCAGGGTATCTTATGATTTAGTCAAATACATCATTTAAGGGGGGTCGCGGGTTTAAAAATTCGCGCCTTCTGCGCATGATGACGCGCATAAGTCGTAAAACAAAAACTGGTTTGAAAATAATCCTTGAAAAGTTTTAAATGGTCATTTGTATTAAAATAATGTGAAAACAATAATTTTATGCGTTTTCAGAGAGTTTGATTAAAAAATATGCTCAGAAATATGAATGTATGCACTTCCGGTTTTTTGGTAAACACTTTCATTTCACCGAGTTCAATCAGAAACCCAGGATCTGGACAATAATTAAGGGCTCCATTCAGAATGAGATCATGGAGAAAGAGAAAGAAATACACGTGTAAGAGAAAAAAATTAATTGATACAAGAGAAAAACTGTCCGTCTTGAGAATAGTGAAGAGAAAGTGTCAATAATACAGAGAAGTTTGGTGGTAAATAGAAAGAAATATGATGACATATTTGAAGAGCTACAAAAGAAAGTGAATTTGAGAGAACAAGAACTGAATGAGCAGTATGAGAGATTTGAGGAGCAGAAACAAAAAGTAAAAGCATTAGAAGAGCAACAGCGTGCAGAAAGGGAAGAACGTTTAAGATCAAAAATGAAAGAAATGGATAAGAAGAGAGAGGAAGAGAGAGAGATTGTAAAAAGAGAAAAAGAACTAAATCAGATGAGATCAAAGTAAGAACATCAATGTTTACAATCAAGATGAAAAGGAAATTGACCCACAAAGTATTTATAGTCTTAAGAAAAAATTTGATGTCGAAAAACCTGAAGAGAAGAAATGCACAGTTTCCAGTCCAACACCCCCCAAATTTGCTACATACGATGTTACATCAGCATAGAGGCTATACTTCACCCAATTTGATCACATTGCCAAAAAATACAAATGGGACGACTCGGAAAATTAGATAAGCTGATTGAGTTTTTAAGATAAAAAGCATTAAAGTTTTATCGTTCAAGACCAGAGAACCTACGACAAGATTACAAATTGCTCTGTCAGAAATTGAAAGAACGTTTTGATAGAAAAGACCATTCACACATTATTCGAAGACAACTAGAAGAGGTTAAGCAGAATCCAGGAGAAACAAAAAAAGGATTTGCTGAGCGCATTGGAGAACTTGCAACTTAAGGTTACCCAGACACTCCTGAATTTCTTCAAAAACACCATCACTGTTGATGTCTTTCTTCGAGGTTGCACAGAGAAATAGGCTGTACTGGTCACTCTTGATAAAGATCCTCAAACTCTCGACCAGGCAATTATAAATTTTTGCGAGTTACTTTTTAAAAAAAAAAATTATAATCCTTACGTATATGTATTAAAGCGAGGGTCAACAAGGGAGTTTCAATTATCAACTGAGGCCATTCCTCAGCTCGATCTAACAAACCATGACCTCAGCCACACACAAGATTCAAAATGTATGAGACCTTAAAATGATCAAAGATGTATAAATACTACTTTTCCAATTTCTATAAGAACTTATTAATGAAATAAAATTTTGTTTTATGTGGTAGTGGAGGATTATCTGGCGATTGGCAGATAATAGAGTCGGATACTTTGATTTTATTGTTTTGCAACAATTTCTCAGATTATTCTAAGAGAAAGCTAATATAAAGGTTGATTATGGTTATGATTGATTGACTGTATGTTGTTTAACGTCCCTCTCAAGAATTTTTCACTCATATGGAGACGCCACCACTTGCCGGTGGAGGGCTACAAATTTTGTCCTATGGTCGGCACTCAGGGCCTTTGAGCAGTGAGGGATCTTTTTCGTGCCAGCACCTACTGCGACACGGGGCCTCGGTTTATACGGTCTCATTTGAAGGACCGGTCTCCACGTCCCACAGTGGGATTCGAACCCGCGACGTAAGGATTGACTACTTACTTCGCGACTCTAGAGGCAGACGCTCTAACCACTGCGCCACGCGGGCAACGATTCTCTTTATGATACTTCATTTTGTTAATATACTTTATTTTATTGTACATATGTAATTTACAAATTTTTAGGACATTACAGTTTGGAAAACAGATTCATTCTAAATATATTCTATATACAGCAGAACACAGTATAAAAAGATATTGTGAATATGTTTTGCACAATTGCACACAGTGACTAGGTACTGCCATTTATTTGGTCTTTTAATTCGTTCAAAAGATGTGGAGTCTTATTTACATCAATTTGCTCGTCTTCTGTTCTATGTCTAAATTAGGCAATTTATCTAATTTTAAAAATATCGTTTTTAGAATTAATAATTATATGTATCTAGGCTTCATTAAAATCTCAGAGAGATTTAAAATAAAGAAAAGTGGCGAAAAGTCTGATATCAACAAGATTTTACAATATTTTATGCAAAAGTTTTGAAGTTCATCATTAAAAGTATCATTTAAGTTTTAAAACATACGTGTATTTTATTATTATTTATTGCACATTGACAGTACCGATAAACAGTCAGATCGTCTGATTGTTGCCAATACGTTCTATTTCCACTATTGAAGAGTTATAGTTCTTAGTGCGCTCTTTTGTGAAAAAGTCGGAAAATGTACAAATCTCGCGGGATTTCTGGGACAAACGTAACATAAACATGTAAACAACATGTTGAATGTCAATGAACAGATGCTTAGAAAATGCATATGAAATATTTTATTGTTGTGGGCTTTATTTAAATCAATAGTAGAGATGACAAGGAAATTAATTTTCATTTTTTGGTGATTGTATGTATCTATTTATCGTAATGGTACATTTAAAGACAATACACATACCTCGGAAATGTCGTATCTTTTATAAATGGACAATAAAGTTACGGTTTTTGCTCTCTTTCATATGTCTTTTAGTTCTTCTATTCTTTGGTTAGAATGACAAATGCACTAAACATTTAAAATTGGATTGAAACTGGCATGTTTTGTATTATCCGCAACGCCATGATGTCCCAGTCAGACGACCAAACGCGCCTCTAATTCTTAAGAGTTCCCTAATGGAAATATAACGTATTTCATAGTTTGTGTGTAATAAATAAAAAAAAGCTTTTATTTCGGCAATATTCTTCTTCAAAAATATAAAAACTTTATCTGTTTTTTATATTTTAAAAGACGTATAGATTTTTATCCTTTTATATTCATAGCCTTTCAATTAGGGGGAGGAATATAGTGATAGACGATATATTTATGATCGGGATTGGGGTCGTTTAATGTATATAAATAGCAAGTAATTAGTTTTCAGTAGTTACCCTCCCGACCTTACGGACGTATCGACTACTGTGAGACCCGGTAACTCATATATTTGGTGGGTTATTTATTCACTTAATAAATAGCTATCGTTTATTAATTATTCTTCGTTTTATTTATATGTAAACATACTTACACAACACTTATTTAGAAACAGGCCACACACACACTCACACACCCTATCACATATACACCCTCACACCCTCACACACAAACACCATCACACTTTCACACACCTTCCTTAACCCTCTCATACACACTTAGAATCTGGGATTTTCAAGGGTTTTTTTGGAAAACATTGGATTACAGTATGTCCTCCCACGTTTCAAGCGGATGGTATAATAAAAGCTACTTACCTAAAAAAATTATGTGATTTGTACATAAATTTTGCGTGTTTTGTTAATATAGTATTTGAAGGGTTTTGTCTTTTATTGTCTGTATTTTCTGCAAAAAGTGAAAGGAGAAAAAGTTTTTACACCTACTTTGTTACTGACGTCAAATAATAGATTAAACCTATAAAACTGTTGTTATCTGAAGTTATATCCGAAAGATTTTTTGGAAACTCTCTTCCGGTGCCACGTTACGGACCATTTTCTAAATTCAAAATGACATTTTGAAATCGCTAAAATAGCATTTCGCTAAAGATATATTACCAGTTTTAAGGACTAATTGCTAAATTTGCGTCTCGCTAAAATTTCCACTTATACGGTAAGGATATGGAAATAACCAGGTTTTTGATATCATTGAAAGCTGCTGCTTCAATAAAAATGGAACTCGTAAATTTACTTACCTCGTGATTGGTCATTTGCAAAATTATTTTGTTAAAACAGATTCTGATTGCACACATAAGTACTCTGAAGTTGACATCACGAAGATGCTTGAGTTTCTAATTGACAATATTTATGTGGTTTTTGGAGACCAGGTATTCCAACAATCTATCGACGACTTTATTTCGCGATTTACCAGGGATAAGCAAGTTCGAAGCAATTAGTTTTCGCGAGCAAGTCTTAAAGGGATCAACAACTTAAAGCTGAACACTCTTCATAAATAGGCATAGGCCGCCATATTTCTCGTTGTACAAAGCGTTCCCCACAGCCCATATATAAGGAGAAGATAGCTTATCGGTTCAATGTAGTTTGCTATAGAGATCTGACGAGTGTAGACGTACATCTTACACAGCTGTGCAACTCGGTCGAGATGAAATTATCAAATTTAACGTATTTTTTGCAAAAAAGGACAATAGTATCATGAAGAATAAAGGTCAATACATTATATACAAGCAGAAAATGCACATAAAAACAAGGAAAAAACGCAAAAAATCTAAGACCACGCAAGGAGTACTACATGTCGGACACGAGTTTCGAATGTGCAACCGAGTGTAACAAAATCGGACGGCTTATATACCCGTCTGACAGTGGCTATTTATGAAACGTGTTCAGCTTTAAGGTAGATCGCGGGTTTATTGTTTGCCTGAAAACATAGGCTTAAAATTTGTCAGCTAACTCCTCTCGTTTTAAATTTTTCCTTCTGAGATTTATTTGAGATTCGTCTGAGAGGTTAAATTGTAATCGTAATTGAAATGCGCTAATGTTGATGAGAACAGGCACCTGACGCTTTTTCAATGAAATATATAGTGAAATACGCCTTTTAAGCTGGTATACGCATTTCAAAACCATGGTCATAACATAAAAACGAAGCAGACGAATTTTATATTACTCGATACAATGAATGTGAAGCTAATTTCGAATCGATCTATTAAAAAAAAATAATATGTGTTCTCGCTCAATTTCTTGCAAAAAAAACTTTAGAGTTTTACAATTTTCGATCAAAAAAATGATATTTTTCTTCACGACGTTATATAACGTTGGTGCGACGTCATTATTTTCGGATGCCTGAATTGCCAAAAAAAAAAGAAATGATTTAATCAACAATTCACTCAAAATAAAGCATGTAATCCGTGAATTCAATTATTTATCAGTTTAATCATTTCCATTGTTTACCAACGACGTGACACAATTTCAATTTCATATGTTTTTTTTCTTATTAATCTCAAGGGCAGGAGTACGGAAAAATTATTACAAATGTAAGTAGATGACAGGGGACAAAACATGTTAGGCCTACCGGATATATAAGAACATTTTCAAACATATATGTTTGTGTATCATTTTCACTGATTTAACAGACTTAAGTTTTTCACTCCAAATTGCCGTATATGCTATATATCTTAATATTTTGCCGATATATAAAATACTTATGGATAGCTAGCATACAGTTTACGATAAGAAATAGGTTACAATATTATATAAAACATTTACTACTATATGCTCGAGCCCCCTCAGTGAAAGCGCCTGTTACCCCCTCCTTTTCTTTTGCTTGTCAAGGAAATTTTGGTTGTTAATAGGACACTAACTAATGAAAAAAATATGGTTGTGCCCTCTAATTGATTGCTTCCTACGGGCCAGCTACTTTTGCCTTGACCCCCCCCCCCCACACACACACATGTAATATTCCGGAAATTTGTATTGTAATCATTCGGGTTCGGTGATTAGGATGTGGACGTAAACATCCGCTTTAAAAAGTATATAAAGCCTGAATCGCAGTAGCGAGCGTTCATTCGAGTTCCAGCTGTGAGACTAACAAGATCGTGTGCGAACATAACAGTGGTAAGTGAGACTTGCAAGAAATAAAGTCAGCTTACTTAAGAGGTTGACCTGAAAGAAGTAAGGTCTAGTCTACAAAGATTATTAATAAACAAATGCTGTTGTGTTTTCGAGTGGCAAGCCACTCAGAGGCTAACCAGGAACGGAGGTTAGCCACCACACTTGTGATAAAGCTTGTTGACCTGTCTGGCAACCAGGCTGTTGTGTACAGTGTGTCTGCCTGAATAAGGCTAGCAGTGTGCACAGCAG